GTCTGCTGGATACTATGGGCCTGTAGGCCAAAGATGGATGCCCCAAGGGTACAGAGGAACTTTGGGTGACTGTCCAGGCAGCGAGTTGTCTCTGGCATTTCTAGAGTTTTGGAAGTTGCTTACTTCTTGTTTGCTTAGGAAATATCATATCCTTCTGGAGTCTTTGATGGAGTTGAAGAATGGTTAATTATAGTTATAGTTTTCCTTAGTTATGATAAAAGATAAAATAGATATAAATATTGTAACTGTAATTCTTGCTTTATAACTGTTTTTGTTATATATAATTTTACTATGTTAAAGTTAAAGCCTTTCTTTTTTGTTTAAACAGAAAAAGGGAAAATGATGGAGATGGGTCTTGTATCTTATCTGTTGCTTTCATTGGTAAACTAATAAAGAAAACTGCTTGGCCCTCTGATAGGGTAGAATTAAGATAGGCGGAGTAGACAGAACAGAATGCTTGGGAGAAGTGATGGATGTGGGTCTTGTATCTTATCTGTTGCTTTCATTGGTTAATTAATAAAGAAAACTGCTTGGCCCTCTGATAGGATAGAATTTAGATAGGTGGAGTAGACAGAACAGAATGCTGGGAGAAAGAAGCTGAGTCAAGCAGTCGCCATAATTTTCCCACTCCAGACAGATGCAGATTAAGATCTTTCCTGGTAAACCAGCTCGTGGGCTACACAGATTATTAGAGATGGGTTAGATCAATATGTAAGAGCTAGTCAATAAGAGGCTAGAGCTAATGGGCCAAGCAGTGTTTAAAAGAATAGTTTCCATGTAATTATTTCGGGTATAAAGCTAGCCGTGCGGGCGGCCAGGTGCTGGGGACACAGCCCCACCGTTCTTATTACTACAGAACATGAGGGATCGGGATAGTCGAGATGGGGGTAGGGCTGAGGGGGAGAGTAATGAAAAAATGTCTTGATAGAGGGGGGCCATTATGGGTTTTGGGAGAATCCTGGTACCAGGGAAACTCTCAGGAATACACAAGGATGAACCCAGCTAAGACTCCTAGCAATAGTGGAAAGGGTGCCTGAACTGACCTTCCCCTGTAATCAGATTTATAACTACCCTAATTGTCATCATAAAGCCTTCATCCAGTATCTGATGGATGCAGATGCAGAGATCCACAGCCAAGCACTGGACTGAGCTCTGGGAGTCCAGCTGAAGAGAGAGTGGCAGGATTATATGAGCAAGGGGGAGAGTTAAGATCATGACAGAAAACCCAGAGACAGCTGACCTGTACTTGAGGGAGCTCATGGACTCTGGCTGGACAGCTAGGGAGCCAGCATGGGAGCAACCTAGCCCTCTGTATCTGGGTGACAGTTGTGTACCTTGATCTTTTGTGGGGCCCCTAGCAGAACCAGGACCTGCTCCTGATGTATGAGCTGACTTTGGAACCTGTTCCCTATGTTGTTCAGCCTTTATGCAGTGTGTAAGAGCTTGGTCCTGCCTCAACTTGATATTCTATGCTTTGTTAATTCCCAAGGGAGACCTTACCTCATCTGAATGGAGATGGAGGAGTTGATGGGTGTGAGTAGAAGTGAGGCTGGGAGTGGGAATGGGAGAAGAGGGAGGGAAAATTATGGTTTGTATGTAAAATAAAATAAAGGAAAAACATAATGGTAATAAACCTTTGCTCAACACACAAGTGACAAAGAGCTAATATGCAGAATATACAAAGAACTAAAGAAACCACCAAAAAAAAAAACACCCTAAACATGAGCTAATGAAATGATCATAGTTCTCTAAGATAAACTGCAAATGGTCAATTAATGTATGGCTATCCTTCTTCCTCATAGCAATCCTCAAGAATTAAAACTCCTGTGATTTTCAAATTATTTTGAAAACTTTTTTTTTTGTAATTTTCTTTATATACAATATGGGAAGGTTCCTAAAGAAGTACAGGATTTAAGAAGACTTCCAAAACCAAATGAGGAGACAATTTATACAATTTGATACTACCTTTTTGCAATACATTTATACTATCAAATAGGAAGTTATCTGGAGACAAATGAAGAGCAATTTGCCTCTGAGGAAATCATATTTGCAAAATTTACTTTATTAATAACTTTTAGTTTGGTCTTTGCTTTTTATTCTTTTGGAAGTAAAGGAGATTAAAGCCAAGGCTCAGTTTATTGGGATTGTTTTGAAAAGTTTCCTTCATTCAAATCTCATAAATATTTACTGTTTACTCACAACCTCATTTTTTTCACCAAACTGTCAACATTAGGATTATAACCATTAGTTTTTTTCAGAACTATATACACAGAGAATGAATGCCTCTATTTTGTATGTGTAATTCAGAATGTTCCTTATCTACCATGTTGACACATGTGGGATGATTGAAAACTAGTACCTAATGCAAATGCATTTTTCTCTGTCCATCACTTGGCTTCCACAAGAAAACTCAAACTTTTTAATTTAGTCATAAATGAGACCAAGATTGTATACTATTTATGTAAACAGATTCATGTATTTCTACTGACCTAAAAAAATGACTTGCCCAGGTCTGACTTTGCATGTTTGTATGTTTTGATGATAGTTGAAAAGCAAAAGTGTAAAGAAAGGATGGATGTGGTGGCCCATACCTTTAGTACCAGCACTAGGAATGCAGGGGCAGGCAAATCTGTGAACTCAAAGACAGTCTGGTTTAGACAAAAAGGTCTAGGCCAGCCAAGACTACATAGTGAAAAACTGTCTTAAAGCAAGCAAACAAACCAGAACCCCTTGGCCAGATATTAAACAAAGAGACCTTGGAATACACAGCTCTGAATAGGATGTCTCCATCAAATCCCTCTCCTCAGAGCTCAGAAGAGAACCCTGAAGAAGAGAGTGTAAGAGCCAGAAGGAATTTGGACCACCAGAACAAGACCCTCTAAATCAACTGACCAAAGCTCATATGAACTCAGAGACTGAAGTAGCAGGCCCTTTGCATATATATTATAGCTTCCAGATCAGTATTTTTATGAGACTCCCGAGTGTGTAAACAAGTGAGCCTTTGATTTATGTGCTTGTTCTTGGGGCTCTTTCCATTCTGTTGGATCGCCATGTCCAGCCTTGATGTGGTTGTTTGATTTATATCTCTTAGAAAAACATTCTTTTCTAATGAGAAGGTGGATCTTGAGAGGGGAGGTGGGAAGGAAATGGGAGGAGAGGGAAGGGAAACTGGAATCAGGATACAGTGTATGAGAAAAGAATTTATTTTTAATAAAAGGGGGTAAAAAAAGTATAAAAAGGAGAGGAAAGCTGGATTTTTTTTGACAGCAATGATAGACTGAACTGACTTTCTGATGAGTATGGATAGCATTTGTGATCTGTAGTGTGGCTATCATGTGTTCAAATGTACAAAAATTGGTACTATACAGATTATGCACAATGAATAGTTTATTTAAAAAAAAACCAACATTTTTTTAAAATTAACTTTACAACAAGTGATAGAAGCATTATTAACAGTGTAGGCCAGGGGTTAGTGACCAGCAGTTTGTGTGTATTAAACACATCTCATTGACATTTTTTCCTTTACTATAATTTATTTGAAAGCTACCTTGTAAATCTTGTGATGCTAAGAGGTATTGATAGTGATGAGAAACAGAATCCAGTATACTTTCTGAAACACTAGATGAAGGTGAAAACCAAGTCCACACAACTAGGACTGCACTCCTATAAAAGCCAATCTTCTAGAACTTCTTATGTAGACTACGCAAGACTTGAATTCAAAGATCTGTCGAGTGTTGGGATTAAAGGTGTGTGTCATTGTGTCCCGAAACTGGCATCTTTAAAATGGGATTAACTTGTACATATTAATTACTTCCTCTTGCTACATTATTACAGACAGGAGAGAAAATTATTTAAAAGATTGGAATTTTATTCAACCTCTTACTTGAATAAACAAGACAATACTGCTCAACAATAAGAAAACCAAACAATACTGAATTGTAATCAGTTTATTTATGTGCATGTGTGTGCTTGTATGGGTGCATGCCTATGAATGCAGGTGTCCTGGGAGGTCAGATGGGTCTGATATGACTGTGAACTGCTGGACATAGGTCCTAGGATTAATGTTGACTCCGGTGCAGCATCAACACAAGATCTTTTAACAGCTGAGCCATCATAGTGCACAACATTTCTTAATACTAGTAATAGTTACAGCACTTAAGTATACTTATAATGAGTTATGGCATGTAAAAAGTACTAAAAAATCTTATTTGGGATTGGTGCAGGGCTCAGGAAGTAAATCTCTTGACACTGCAACCTGCCAATATACAAACTCTTGAAGGTTGTCTTCTGACTTCTACTCTTGTACATCTGCAATAAACACAAATCTCTCTCTCTCTCTCTCTCTCTCTCTCTCTCTCTCTCTCTCTCTCACACACACACACACACACACACCAAAATTCAAAAAAAAAAACTTATTTGGAGAAAATAGACATCACAAAATACAACCATAGTAGCTAAGTTTGAGAAAACTAGAGTGCCTATTCAAATACATGGAAATTGCCAAGGAATTAACAATGAGAACAGTTTTTTTAAAGAATCTACTATGTAATGACACCCAGAAAAATACTAACACTGATACATTTTCAATTTCATATCGAATACAACTATTCAAAAACTACCCAGCGGGTTAGTGAGATGGTTCAGCAGCAAGCCCATAAGCCTGAAGACCTAAATCCATCTTCAGGACTCTCGTGGTAAAGAGAGTTGTCCTCTGACATCCAAATGTGCACCTGAAACACTTATGCCCAAACACATACGTGCCAACACATAACTGCAATTTTAAGAAGCATTTACTAGTATAGTCTACCAGCTAATAAACACATTTCAATCCAACAAATCCAATATAGCTCTACAGTAAAGGGTAAAGCATTACCTCATGATTTAAAAAACAACAACCATAAAAAATACTCATTAAACTGATGGAAATGCAATTGACTTGCCAAAGTCCATCTCCACAATTCAGTTTATGTTCTTGCTCCTTAAGGTGGTGTCTTCATGGCCTTCAAATGTGAGCTCAGTTTTACTCAGCTCTTTGAGCAGCAGGGCAGACAGGCATGTGCAATCATACTAAAATTATTCACTAACTTATACTTTCAATGAAAAAGAAAGTAAAGTCAAAAAAGTCTTGAGTAAGAATAGGCAAATGTTGTAAACACGCATAACTTTTACATAATTTCTTTCAGGTTTTATTTAGGGATATTTATTTACATAAACTAATTTGCTCAAGATATCTACATTTCTCACTTTTATAAGATTCAATTACATAAGAAAATCACAACATTCTTTCTTTTTCTGAGACTCATGTAGCTGACCTTGAAATAGTTCTGTGAAAGAGTCTCACTTTCTCTTTCTTTTTTTTTTTTGAGTTGGGGTCTGAGATTCCCTGGCTGACCTGGACTCCAGAGAGATCTGCCTGCCTCTGCCTCCCAATTAATGGGATTAAAGATATGTGCCACCACACATGGGTCTCTCCTATGACAATTTAATCTGTTTGAAACTGGTTTTCTTAAGTTTCATGAATTGTATCCATGCCCTCTGTATTCAGTGTTGCGATTTTCTATAATCTATCCCCTATACCGAGTGTTGGAATAAAAGGCATACATTATGATGTCTGATGCAAGAGTAGGTGTTCATCCTATGTTCACTTGCACATATGGGGAAAATTATACTTATGCTGATTTTATATTATCGCCAGTGTATTTTCATGTTTTTAATTAAAGATCTATGTGTATATTTTTCCTGTATGTATGTGTGTGCAACATTCAGAAGGCATTGGACCAACTGCAGCTGGAGTTAGATAGCTGTGATCCACCATGTGGTTGTTGTAAATTATACCCAGGTCATCTACAAGCACAGCAAGTACCCAACCACTGAGCTATCTCTCAAGCCCAATCTTGCTGTGGGACAATGGTCTGTACCCTGTCACTTGTGTTTTAAATAAATGCTGAATGGCCAGTAGCCAGGCAGGAAGTATAGGCGGGGCAACCAGACAGGAAGTATAGGCAGGGTGAGAACAGGAGAATTTGGAGAAGAGGAAAAGTTCAGTCTGCAGTCCTCACCCAGACACAGAGGAAACCAGATGCAGAGCAAGCATGATGTGTGACTGCCTCGCTGAAAAAGGTACCACGGCAAGAATTATTGGCTAATATAAGTTATAAGAGTTAATAAGAAGCCTGAGCTAATAGGCCAATCAGTTTGTAATTAATGTAGACCTCTGTGTGATTCTCTTGGAACTAACAGCTGTTGGCCCGGGTGGGACAGAACCCTCCATCAACACATTCTCTCATTTGTTTTTAGAGAAAGTATACACAGAAAAGTACAAAATGTAAAACTTACATAAGAAACCTCACTCACAAGAAAAGCAAGACAGAGGCTGGTGGGGTAGCTTAGAAGGGAAAGGAACTTGTTTCCAAGCTCGAGGACCTGAGCTCCATCCCTAGGATTCACACAATGGAAAGAGAACTGATTCCAGCAAGTTGTCTGCTGAGCTCCAGATTTACCACCAGAGCATTGGCGAATCCTTGTCCAACACTTCATGCAAATAAATAAATAAGTAAACAAATAAATAAAATTTACACCAGAGCATTGCTGTATTCTTGTTCAACACTTCATGCAAATAAATAAATAAGTAAACAAATAAATAAAATTTACGTCAGAGCATTGCTGTATTCTTGTCCAACACTTCATGCAAATAAATAAACAAATAAGTAAATGATAAATATTTTAAAAAGCAGGTTGACTACTGTTACACATGGTTTACACAAGTATAAGCTCTACCCGCTGGGTTTCTTTTCACTGTGAGATCTTTCATGTCTTCGAAGGTATGAGAAATACACAAACTCTTTCCCACATGGATTACACTTGTAGAATTTCTCTCTAGTAGTGTGAGTTCTTTCATGTATTTGGAGGGACGTGGAAAAAGGGAATGCTTGCCCACACTCCACACATACATATGGCTTCTCTTTGGTGTGCGTTTTCTCATGCCTGTAATTAGCACTGGAATGGGCAAAGGTTCTTCCACAATATTTACATGTATAGGGTTTCTCTCCAGTGTGAATTCTTTCATGTTTTCGAAGGTATGAGGAAAACATAAATGCTTTCCCACACTCTTGGCAAACATAGGTTTTCTCTGCAGTGTGAATTCTTTCATGGTTGTAACAGTTGCCCGCACTGATGAAGGATTTTCCACATTGTTTACATGCGTAGAGTTTCTCTCTGTTGTGAATTCTCTCATGTTTGTGAAGGTTGGAGGACCGTCTGAATGCTTTGCCACATTGATTACATGCATAACGTTTCTCACGGGTGTGGCGTCTTTCATGCTGCAGAAGATGGTAAGCATGAATACACGCTTTCCCACAATGTTTACATATATAATGTTGCTCTTTTTTGTGAGTTTTTTCATGATTTTGACGGGCCAGGGAATACATGAACGTTTCACCACAATGTCTACAAGAGTAAGTTTTCTCTCTTGAGTGAATTCGCTGATGTCTTGTCAAGTGACTGGAATGAAGGAAGGTTTCACCACATTTCTTACACGCCAATGGTTTTTCTCCAGTATGGATCCTTTCCGATGTTTGAACACAACTTTTTTCCTTCAAGGTCTTCTCAAATTGCTTACATTCACGTTGCTCATCTCCAGTGCAAGTTCCCCCATAATCTTGGTGAGAACTGGGATTACTAAAAGATTCATTAGATTGCTTACTTTCACAGATGTTCTCTCTAGCAGGAGCACTCTCAAGTGTTTGAAAGGACTCAGAATAAAGAAAATCCTCCTGACTTGACTCCTGTGTAGTGGCCTTCTCCACACGGTCCTGACACACGCATGGTTTCTCTTCAGTTTGGCTTTGAACGATCATATAGGACGATGAGTGATCATTGATGTCTTTTGCATAGATGCTGCTTTCATAAACTGTGATTGCAGGACGACCGTGTGCGTTAACAACATTCTTGGGTATCTGTTGGTGGGTCTTTGCACATTCGCTACTGTGTTCATAGTCACAGAATCGCTCAATGACCTGAATTCTGAAAAAAAAAAAAAAATGGGGGGGGGAATTATTCCTCTTTTATCACTAATAGTAGATGACGGATTTTGTGGTCTCTGCCTGTGCAGTATTCAGGAGGCACTGGCAGGAAGTGAACAAACTGAGGGCAAACTGGACCACAGAGAAAGACCCTGTCCTCAGAAGGAAAAGAAATGTACTGAGTTTGTTTCTGTTAGAACTAATAAACACGAAGTACTGAACATTCAGCAAGGGCTGAGGACAGTATACAACGATAAAAGATTCTGGAGTAATAGTTTGATAAACACTGTCTATGACATAGTTAACAAAGCTTATTCCTTATGCACTATGAGTCAGACATTCTCAAATTTTAAATAGCTGGATATCCTTCAGGCAATTCATTGAAGATGGGTCTCAATCGAAACCCCAAACTCACCTTTTCTTCCCACATAAACCTTATAAGGTCTAAAGGTAACTTGCTAAAAATACATCAAATAAATTTGTAGACAACAGGCAGTTTTATATAAGGACCCGCCGGTAAATGTTTCAGCTAAAGGGTGCACCGCATTTTGTTACTGCTCTCTCAAAACAGTGCAGTAAGAGGTGCAGTCCAAAAAATCCATGCAAGTACTACATTAGATTTAGGATTATCCACTTATGAGTTCTCAAGCTCAGTGAAGTTTTACAGAACATTTGAGATTAGGTCAATTTACATTTTTTGCTTCTTTTTCAAGACAGGGTTTCTTTGTGTAACAGTCCTAGCTGTCCTGGCATTAGCTCTTGTAGACCAGGCTGGCCTCGAACTCACAGAGATCCACCTGCCTCTGCCTCCCAAGTGCTAGGATTAAAGGCATGCGCCACCACTGCCCGGCTTGCATTTTGATCTATTGGGATGGTTTCCTTATTTCTACGATTGGCTCTCCCTCTCAAATATCTGATGCAGATTCCCTTTGCTGTAGGTGTGAATTACCTCAGGTTTCTCTGGAGTTCTTGGCGGTCCACATCAATATTTTCTTCCTCTGTTTTCCGGAGAAATTAAAAGCAAGACATCATTACGTTAGTCAACCTTATACACAAGCTATTACTTTCCAGCTTCTTCTCTAGTATAATGTGACCAGGCAGGCTACATTTACCACCACATCCCTTTCAATATTTCAAGCCATATAATTACTCAGATGACTAAGAAAGAGTTTTTCTCCAAATGATCAAGAAAAGAAATGACACTGATTTGTTGTTACCTATGGAGATCAGGTTCATACATGTTTCCATCATCACATCTCTGTAGAGCTCCCTTTGACAAGAATCCAACAGAACCCACTCTCCTAGGGTGAACTTCACAGCCACATCGTCAAAGCTCACTGGCTCCTAAAATAATTCACAGCATTATCAAAATGCAGTTATTAGAAGAAAGATTAAAAACACAGGAGATACATTAGTCACCTGATAAGTTCCCTCCATGCATTCTTAATACATTCATCTTATATCATGGCTAGCACAAACTTATTAATTATCCTTTCATCTTCTCACACAATTCTAAGAGTTGTATATGCCTATCTAATGAAGGAAATATGGATTGAATGCTTTGCTCTGCTCTGGTTTCAACTATTCTTTGTACCTTAGACTACAAGTTCCTCCAACTGAGAACCCACAGTGAACAGCAGCTCTGTTGAGCATGCACAGTTAAGTGTCTGTTAGCAAACTTCATCTATCTCTAGAGATTGTGGATTTCACATAAATTGGTGTATACAGCTTAACTATAGAGAGGTGCTTGAGATATGGCTCAGAGGCTTAGAGCCCTGCCTGTTCTTCCAGAGGTCCTGAGTTCAATTCACAGCAACCACTTGGTAGCTCAGAACCATCTGTAATGATATCTGGTGCCCTCTTCTGGCATGTAGGCATACATCAAGGCAGAAAACTGTATTCATAATATTTTTTTTTAAAAAGAGGTGCTCACTGCTATGCAGTAGTTTATGACAACATAAAATAGTATTTCACAAACTATTATCACTGTCATTCTCAGCATACTTCTTAAATAGTGAAACATGGTTTTTATAATATCAAAACCTGAAAGAAAGTTTACATGAAAAATCTCTTATCATTGATCTCAAAGATAATAGGAAACACGGCTGACAAATTTTGCTACTCAGATCACTGAGCACATCTTTTTATGATGTGCTCATTGTGAGTAATATCGTTAGGAAGACTGCTTTTATAAAAGTTTCTTTTTTTATTTCTTTTTTTAAAAATTATTTATTTATTGAAGATTTCTGTCTCTTCCCCGCCACTGCCTCCCATTTCCCTCCCCCTCCCCCCAAAAAGTCCCCCTCCCTCNGAAGGGAGGGAGGGAGGGAGGGAGGGAGGGAGGGAGGGAGGGAGGGAGGAAGGAAGGAAGAAAGAGGGAGAAAGGAAGGAAGGAAGAGGGAGGAAGGAAGGAAGGAAGGAAGGAAGGAAGGAAGGAAGGAAGGAAGGAAGAAGGGGCTTTTCCTACCACCTTTCCTCAGTGTGGGAGATTCAAAAATCAGTGCATTTGGGTTTGTGTTGTGTTAGAATATTTGATTTTAAAAATTGAATTTTAATTAAATTTATTTATTTATTTATTGAAGATTTCTGTCTCTTCCCCGCCACTGCCTCCCATTTCCCTCCCCCTCCCCCCAAAAAGTCCCCCTCCCTCGTCAGCCCAAAGATCAATCAGGGTCCCTGCCCTGTGGGAAGTCCAAGGACCACCCACAATATATTTTACTTAAAAGTTTCTTATAAAAGAGTATTAATTCAAAACAAGTAGCTTCTCATCAATCAACCTTGACTTAATACTAAGTACAACAAAGGGTAATTCTCTATGCTCCAACATAAGCACTACATACTATAACAGGCACTGTTCTGAGAAAGAGATCAATGTCACAAAACACATGCTATCACAGCTGCATCAAATTCTGTAAATCTCACAAAACTTTTAGATTGTTAAAAAGAATTGCTTATTGAAATCTGTAGGCAATAATAAATGTTTGGTACCATAAATACATTAGGAATAAGAAAACGATAGTTTGCTCCAGACATGAAGTCACATATGAATATTACCAGACTCACAAGGAAGAGATAGAGGGACCTTGAATTCAAAGCCTGCCTGGGCTGAATAGCAAGAACAAGAAATTGAAAAAGAGTATGATAGACTTTGGAAATACACTACTCAGGGAACTCAGCCATAAAGACAAGATGAACAGGACAGAGGAAAGAACAGCAGACTTCAGCGACATGAGATACAAACAGAAAACTCATTGACAGGAGAGGAGATCTTGATCACCAACGAACCTGTCGGGGAACTTAGTTTGATTTTTTCTATCACTATATACACTTTTAAAAATCAATGAGGACTACTGAGACATCAAGAACAATGGCAATGGGTTTTTGATCCTACTGTATGTAGTGGCTTTGTGGGAGCCTAGGATGTTTGGATGCTCACCTTACGAGACCTGGACGGAGGAGGGTTTTCCTTGGACTTCCCACGGGACGGAGAGCCCTGATTGCTCTTTGGGCTGACGAGGGAGGGGGAATGGATTGG